ATACATTGGTATCGAAGGAGCTAGATTCTGTTCCGAAATATCACTTACTCGAACCGTCCTGACCGCGTGGCTCAGTTGGAGGAGCATTGGGCTGGTATTCCAAAGGTCGTAGGTTCGAATCCCACCGTGGCCGGGCATATTTTTCAAGCTCGCCCGTTGTGGATATACACTCAGAGTAACACCACAAATATCATATTCACCTGAGTACACTACACCAACACAGAAAAATTCATATTACTAGAATACATTGGTATCGAAGGAACTAGATTCTGTTCCGAAATATCACTTACTCGAACCGTCCTGACCGCGTAGCTCAGTTGGAAGAGCATTGGGCTAGTATTCCAAAGGTCGTAGGTTCGAATCCCACCGTGGCCGGGCATATTTTTCAAGCTCGCCCGGTGTGGATATACACTCAGAGTAACACCACAAATAAAATACGATATTATTACGTAGTGAAAATATCATTTTTGCAAGCCATTCAAAAAGCGCGTAGGAAATATGTTTGACCAATCAGAGAACATGTTGTAAAACGCATTGCCACGGATGTTTTATTGTTTTTCAATTGTCGCTTTTCTGTAGAAATTATCGCTTTTCAAAGACTGTCCTTTATATAATAAACAGAAAAATACATGGATGCTTGGAAATACCAGATTTATTTCTCGTGTTGAAAATCTGGTAGTTTCGCGCCCCCATCATGTGTATTATTCTCTATAAAATTATACGCTATGCGACTATAGGAGTACCCAGTAAAATCTACTCGGTGTTTGGTTTCAGAGGCACTCTTCTCACATGTTACCAAGCATGCAACTTCAACGACATTAAAGTGACCAGACTCACCTGTGAAATCCAAAGGACATTCACAAATATAACGTCCATTTCTATTGATACAATTTCCATTATTTAGACATGGCAATGAGAGACATTCATTCACATCCTGATACTGGCATAAAGGTCCATGGAATCCCGGCACACAAACACACTTATATTCATTGATGCCATCCCTGCACAATGCATTGTTTTGGCAATTTGCCAAGAGACAGTCATCCACATTGACGCCACAGTTATAGCCTGTGAAGCCAGCGGCACAATTACATTTGAAAGTAGTGTTACCAATAGTCGTGCATGTTGCATTGTTCTGGCAAGGACGACTTAAACAATGGTCCGGTGGAGTCTCACAATTTACTCCTGTGAATCCTGAAAAATAGTATATATGGGATTTAGGCTCTAAGTTAGTAAAATAATCTACTCATGAATGGGTTAATAAACACATGCACCTACCTGCTTTGCATTTGCATCTATATCCTTTATCTTCGACAACGCATTGTCCATCATTGTGGCATGGCAGGCTGGTACATTCGTTGTGAGCGCAAAGGGGTCCTGTAGTGGATCAAAAGATACAGTTTTTCTATAGCTACCTTATTGCGAAACAATTTTACTTGGGAAGGGAAACGTGTTGGGTGTTGACCAGTCAACTCACTGGGTCAACTAGACAATCTGCGCATGTTTTGTGCTCAACACAGTCACCAAGATCATTAAACCACAATGTCTGACAATTTTACTTAACTATATAGAGAAAACTGTTGGGCATTAATGGGTTAACCAGACTACATATGCATGCTGAATTGCTGATGTCTATATAACAACAACAACAATTTAATTGTACCCACAGAAAAGACTAATACAATTTACTTAGACATCAAATATAGGTACTGCATGGCTACCTGTAATAGCCGTAAACACTAAAGGGCTAGATACCAGGCAGCCAGATCAATATAGTGAAAGATTCACAATTATTTAGTAAATTTAGATGATGCATGGGTATAAACACACTTAGACGAAACACACAGAGAGAGAAAGAGAGAACACGCAGACAAAGAAAATAACCGCTGCACATCATTTATGAGATTTTGTTAATCAGTATATAGAAGATCAACAATCTACGAAAATTAACCAAATTTGCCATAAATTATCAATAGCCATTGATAAAATTAGCTTTTAAATTCTTTTTTAACGAGGAAAGAGATTTTTTGTTTCATCAAGAGAGTTCCATACTTTAGCTCCTTGATATCTTCCATAATTTGCCGGTTCATTTTTTAGGAATAGAGTAGGACGATTTGGATGCAAGTCTATTATTGTAGTTATGTGTCTGGTTGATATGCAGAGTAAAGAGATTATATTAGAGATTATATTAGCTTCTATTGTTGATCCATCAAGTTAGCGTTTTTATTTTGCCCAAAATAAAACGTCTTGCGAGTTAATGGGTAAATAAAATAGCCTTTGAACAGCACGAACTGGAGTACAAACTATAAGACTGGCTTGAAGATCAGTAGAACGAGTGAAAAAGTAAGAGTGCAGCATGAATGAGTAAAACCAGGATGCATTGCAACGTAATGAATGACATGTTTACGCCATAGACATCTTATATACACTAGATAGTGCATCTAATTATTCTGCAATTCAAAAATTGAAGCCGTGATTGCAGGCTCAGGATATTCCCATGAAATGAGAAGATTCGTATATATCCTATTTCTTAAACAGGGAACTTAAACATTAAGTTAATCCTATTATAAATACATTTTCAAACTATTCAAATGATGAAAGTTATTGTTATTTTTTAAGCGTTTATTAGCGAGTGGGAAGCTCCAACATGGCCGCCATCTATTCAAATGGGGGTAACCGCTGGAATATTCTTGGCTTCCATTTTACTAAAAGAGATGCGCTATCTAGTTTATATAAGATATCTATGGTTTACGCAGAGAGGCTTTGGAGGCAGAGGTTGAAATTTCAAAAATATTTTTAGTTGCCAGTGAAAAAGATCAGATCGCCAGATTTAATATCATGGCCTGCAGCCATGTCTTTATATATTGTTTCGTAATTTGTACTGTATAGAAAGAAATAAAATATTCATCATACCAAAATATGGGTCTTGACATTTACAGGAGAATTTAGCCTCCCCATCAATGCATGTACCATTATTCAGACATTTTGATGAACCATCATCCGTCTTACAATCATCGATATTTATTGAGCAGTTTCTTCCCGTGTATGCAGCTGTACAAGTGCATGTGTACGAGCCATTAGTATTGGTGCAATTTGCCCTGTTCTGACATATTCCAGGAGATTCTTTACATTCGTCAATGTCCACATCACATCGGCTCCCAGTGAAGCCACTATGGCAGCTGTTAAAAATGTTATAACATCATGAGAGCTGGCTGAGGTTTGTGTATAAAATTGCAGAAGCGTGCTGCATGCGAGAGTAATCAAGTTCTATACAAATACAATTAAGAGTTGGTGATCAGGTGGAAATTATTAAAAGCTCAATAAAATAATAATATATATACTACTAAATATATCTTGATAGTGAGCGCATATACGTCATGTCTTCGAGCTTGTAGATTTATTCTTATGTTTGTTTTAATATTATCAGAAAATACCGTAAACCTCCGAATATAAGCCCTGGGCTTATACTCGTTCGTAAGCATTTTTTGATGGGCTTATACGTGGGAGGGCTTATATACGGGGGGACTTATATACAGGAGGAGCTTATATATACGGACGACATTTGATGCTAGTAATAATTAAGAGGAGAATCGTTTGCATGTCACGTAATACAGTACGCGCTCAAAACTAATAAATATGCTTTTTCACTTGGTTGTTACTATATTCAATTTTTTACATTTCTGATACGTTTCTCAAACAAACTTAAAAATTATGTTCGATGCTTTATCTGTAAATTTATGCTAAAATGAAGAGATTTTAGATGGTACGCCAAAGAGAAAATGATGTCTGAAGTTCCATAAGTTCTGTTTATATCGCTGTTTAAGTATGACGTCAGTTTTACATGCAGTATCAATGGCAATTGTATTTAAATTGACAATTTTTCACTATTATTTTGTGTTTCTCAACCGCAATGGTTGCTAACTGTGTAAACTGCAAAATAGAGCTAAAACAAAGTAATTTTGAGAGGAATGCCAAAAAGATTTTAGGTTTTGAACATTTTGCATCGCAAATACGCGACATTGAAAAAAATTGCCTCTTAATATGTATTGTACCTGTAATTCTGTAAACTATACCGTGAACGAAAAGAAAATAGAAACATACAGTAAATAATCTATACATAAAACAAGTTGTTTAACATATGTTATAATACGGTAATGTTTTGATAATTGTCATTCGTCTGAGCTGTTGGAATCCCCGTCGCTGCGTTAATAAATACCTGTCCAATAATAAGCCCATGGGCATGGGCTTGTACATGGAGGGGCCTATATTTGGGAGGGCTTATATTCGGAATGCCCTGAGCGTTAGTGCATAAATATGGTGGGCTTTCCCCGGGGGAGGGGCGCGTATATTCGGGTGGGCTTATATTCGGAAGTTTACGGTACTGCTGGGAATAATAATACTGAATTGTTAAATAGTTGGGCAACTTCGAATGAACTATCTTCGTTGAACCTTAAATAACTACTTAGAGATTGAAATGAAAATCCAAAACAATCTTCCGATTTTGACACTGCATCGTATGTCATTGATTGATCAACAAAACAACATACTCACACACAACAAAACGCCCGCTTTACCGCTTACCTGCATGTACCATTCATACAAATCCCACCGTTCAGACAAGTTACATTGGTACAAACTAAGCAAAACAAAAAATATCAAATATGAGAGTTCGCGCGTGGGAAGTCATCAATTCAGCACCACCACCACAACAGAATACGGCCGCGGCTAAACAGCCACCAACCTCGTAGCCAGGGTCTTTACCCTCGGGTGTTTGTAAAACCCGGAACCCTACTCATTCGATTCTTTTTTCGTTAGTATCAAAAGAGCGAAATATTACAGTTCAACTAATTAATATCTTACAGTTCAGACCTCT